TGCGTCAGTGTAAGACAGTACGGCTGCGCTCAGTTCAGTGATTTGCCCATTATTGTAATGTATTGGAGGTAATCTAATTTAGCACAGTCCAGTTCAGGGTGTAGCTCAGGTCATCCGAGGCGCAACTTCGAGCGTAAACTAGAAGAGTACATCTAGTTAATTAACTTGGAACAATCGTTACCACGCTGAATCAGTTGAGTTCTGGTGCGAATGCTGCCCACGTGACGCGTTTTGTAGCGCCTTTCCACAGCACACTTCGCGACTCAGACGGGCTGAATTAAATCTTCCAGATTTGGCTCATGCGGCAACAAATGAAGCGAGCACGGCATCGTAGGGACGAGAGTCACCACATATCGTCGTTATCACTGAAATCAGTCGGGGCGTATCAGAACTGCGCGGGTGTCGCGGCGGCGACAGCCTCGTCTCCACCTCTCACCTCTGATTGAGCAAACAGCAACTATCCATGAAATAGGCTGAAGCCGTGCCGGAAGCTACGCAAAGCTGCCACGCCCCGACTGACTTTAGTGATAACGGCTGTTTACGATACATCGAGGCAAGCTTGATTTTGTAGACCTGAAACTCTTATTTTGAAATTTTCGTAAAGGTTCTAACGAACAAATGATTTCAGCCAGGCACATCGAGAAGAACTTCAACACACATGGAAATGAATCGATAATTTATTCCAAAATAATTTTGTAATATAGACGACAAGAATATGAGCTAAGTATCAACAACATTTATATCAGAAAAAAATGAACGATTAGAGCAAGATTTTTCAGCGGAAAAATCTTGTAAGCTCTTTTAATAAGGTTTTTGCTACGTCATCAGACGGCGGTATTGTTATGACATAAACCGGAACAAAGTAAATCTGGAACACTGAAAACTCGTGCAGTTGTCATCATACACAATAGTAACTTCTAGTGGAATAGTCGGACTAATAGGTATCAGCAGTGCATTTCACGCAGTGCATTTCACGTGCTGAGAATTACACACCAAAGGGAGACAAAAACAATATAAAACAACATTGAGGATACGGGAAAGAAGGGTCTGCAGTCGGCAGTGAAAAGGATTATGGAGATTCGTAACAGGCACACTTGACTAGAAGTACGAGGCTATAGTAATCCGGCATACTTTAGACGTGTTAACTCCAGGTCTGAGCCATTACGGTAATTAAACCGCGAAGAGCTTGAATAATAAAGTTTTTATTCCGGAAATTGATTGAAAACACTTTGGTTTTTTTTAGCCAAAGAAAAGCTCGAAATTGCACGGGAATTGAGGATTACTGTATTTATCTGCTGGGATGCTTCAGTCAAAAATATTGGAGTTCAAAAGGTTGAACTTCTGAAAACCAAGTGATCAACATGGAATTGAAAGCGTCCAGAGAAGGCTCAAATTTGCTGGCACCGCGCCAAAACCAGTCTTCCTGGAGCACCCTAGCGTCTGTTGCAGTGAACAAGACTGTAAGTACTGGGACAAACACGATTCGAGGCCTGTCCACAAGATGTGGGGACTCAGCGAGCGGTCGCACAGCGGCTGACGTGACTGTGATTAACGCGGGTCTCGTTGACACATACGTTCGGTATCGATCGATAGACTATTTACTCGATAGTGCAATAGGCAGTCAAACTGAAGACAAGTGCACGATCGATAATCGTGAAACTGCGGACACATCTCAGACGAATGAATGAGTGTACTCTTCTTATCCCGGAGATAGGGAGGGCGTGGCCGCGTAACTTATTTGAACATGGCATGTGTGAATGCGCTTTTTGTGAGATATTTCCACTTGAGACAACTGTCATCCTTTCTAGTTCTCTTCAAAGACATGACTATAGTTGTACCAAAAACAGAAATATCCTCAAGGAGCGCGGTCGGCGCCACGTTCGAATGTGGTAAGCAGCCACGCCCTCCCTATTTTCGAGATAAGGGGTGTGAGGACTATCAGCGTAATACAGAGCTATCTAGACCAGGAATATAACATATCTATAGTATGCCGTCGAGTCGTGAGAGCCACTTCTACTGTTCATACAACAATCGAAAGTGACGTCAATACATAATCCTTGAATCCTAAAAGATCGGTGCATGGGGTCTCAATAAGAGATTGACGTAAGTGAAGTGAAGGCATGCAGCGGCTCGTGCTACTCGGGCGTTGTGACGATTCGATGGCGTGTACGAATCGCCGAGCGACGAACGCAGAGAGCTAGAGCGACGGCATCGCATCCAATTAGTGCATTTACGAACAGGACTATACATATACATATATATCATATCGCATTGAGGAATGAGGATTGGGAGGCGATGAGATAGATGCTACCATTTAAAATATAATTATATATATAGGAAAATATGACACGTAACATCTAAAGCAAATTCATTATTGCTGTATTGGTCCCGATACGAAAGAGTATTCAGTGAATACTGAATTATACAAATATAGATGATAGATATCTGTGGTCAAATGGGATTTTTGTAGTGGTGTGATGATTGTATGAATAACTATAGACGATGATACGTACATGATAAAGAATGATTATTGATTAGACGTCATGCATCTTGCCCTCTTTGTTATCACAGTAGTTGTTCCACAACGTTTTTGCGAGTTCGTAACACGGTAGTTCACCGGCATGAGTTGCCACCATTCGTAACAGGAATACGCCGTCCTTTAAATAAAAATATGCAAACGTCTGTCAATGGTATATTGTAATTTGGATTTTCTCGCTGCGAGGTTTTAGGTGCTGTTTGGGGACCGAGACAATCGTAATCGTCTCTTGGTCGCACGCGGCAATGGCTTTTTTCAGGTCGGAAGCCATGCCCACCCACGCGGCGAATTGCGATTGGCTTGTGTCTAAGGGAGGGGCGTACTACGTTCACAATCGCACTTTTACCCTCCTCCTCCCCGCAAAGGCCTCAGGCGTAGAGCGCAGACGGTCAGATGTCAGCGGGTATAGGAACTACGTCCTCGCACTACCCCGGAGAAGGAGAAAGGCGGTTGCGTACTTCTTCCTTTGGAGTGGCAGTGGCAGCCCTCCAGGTGGAATTTATTTTCGTTTCGATACAGTTGTAACTATACACTTTACATCACCGCAATTGTCGGGTCGCAATCAGCGGCTCGCACCTGCGGCGTTTCCATCATTGGTTGCTCCCTCCCTAAATCGATCTTTACCCGATCGCCATTGGTAGAGCCCAACGAGGCCAACGCCACTTTCGACTTCGCGCTGCCCACCAGCCGCCTCCGCAGCAATGAATGAGGACTGTATTATCTTTTGGACAGCTTGGTATTGGCCAATGAGAGCTGTTTTCAAATGGACATATCCACTGAGAAAAACACTCTTTTTCCATTTGCTGCAAATTGAGCTGCACAGCCACGCCCATCCCAGCTCCGGGATAAGAGCGTTTCTGCTGCGCAAGTGCCTGCAGCTCTCCAAACAACTTTCAATTATACTGAATCCCTCTAATCGCATTAATTTGCTGTTGTGCACCTTTTCATCAGCTTGGCGTTCCATGGGCAATGTGTTCTCACATGTTTCAGCGTTTCACTCATGATAGGTGGCTCACAAACCCTGAAGTCTCCTCCCCCACAGAAAACCCACCCTCTGATTCGTCACATTTTTTTGCACCAGTCAATGCTTCGGCAACCGCCCTCCTCCAGCTGTATGTTTCGACAAGGTTTTGCAATGGGACAGTGCAGGAGAGTTTGAGTTGTCACGTAACCGTGATCCGCGGCGACTCTGACCGTCTGCTTTCTGAGCCTTAGCCATGGCTGGGGAAATCCGCAGAGACGCTGTGTAGTACTCAGCTGTTGTATGTATGAAAGTAGCCGATTCCCTCTTCCTTTGATAGTGAGGTGGAGATCACTGTAGCATGGTTAGGTACTCGAAAGTACGTTAAAAGGCTATTTCGCGCTGTCTACAAAATCGATAAATCGATTAGTTACCTGTCGGAGAAAATGGAAAACGAATCGCCGTAATGACTGCGAATCGACCATTTTGTAGCCTTCAATGCCAGTAAGGTACTTGCCGACGAAATTCAATTGCCTTAATATACTGATTGTTATTCCTCGCAATTTCATTGTCGTGAAAAATGTCTCACAAATGAGAAACGCCTGATGGGCTGGTATTGATCGACATTCCGGAAAAAAGTGTCAATGTGAAAAATTTCGTTGGAAAAATGGGCCCGTTTTCTTTCTTTACTGTACTGAAAAACGAGTACTCTTGGATATTTGGTTGTAAACAAAAACATTCAATGAACGCAAGCCGACTTCGCTAATGAGGCGTTCCCATTTTTGGGAATCTGCTCTTGGAAGCCACAAATGGGTCAAAGTCACGCATAATTAAAGAAAAAATCAATACGTAAACAAGGAAACACATGGCAAAAAACATGGTCCTTCTTGGTGGTGGCTAATATTCATTAGTTGCTCTGGAAGACTTGGTGACGTGTTTGTTCACCTTATAACGCCGATAGGAACTTGTAGACAGTAAACTTACTTAGAAAACAGAAAATCGACAATCAAAAAAACTTCCCCAGGCCGAATACGACCCCTCCCCTCCCCTCGGGCTGCTTAATAGGACCCCCAGCATGAGCACATTGGGAAAAACTTTCGGCTTCCATGCGAAACTTTATGCAAGAAAAAACACTAATACTAATGAGCCAAGCCAACACTGAACCAACGAAACCCTGAAGGCCTACTTTATGATTCCCCTCAGTCAATGTAAGATTATTCGGACCAGAAGTATGACCAACACCAGCGCACAGACGGTCTCAGAAGTACTGGTTGATGTATATATGACTAAAAGCACTAACCTGCTCGGCACTACCGATATATAAATCCAGTAAAATAACGAGCATACTGTGGCGCCGGCAAGCAAAAAATACCAGAACCTGAAATATTGTAGGGATCTTCCACATGTTGCACTGAATCCAGACATCTGCTACAACTTCCGTTTTAACTGACAAAAGTGCGTTGACATTCTTGGATTCTAGGCTGCATTCCACGTCGGGTTCAACCACCATGAGACCCTTTATTATGACCCTTTTTTGGGAATGTCTCCTCCTGAGATCTCAGAAAGGGGAGACGCACCAATAATGAAGCGGCAATAGTGGAAGTGACCCCGCCTACATACAATTAGCATGGGTACGCTTCTGAACGTGAGTAGTGTGGAAGCTTATTCCTTACGATGGCGGAGAACGAATTACGCTTCGAGGAATTTTTTCAGAAAGCAGACTCAACGAAGCGCGTCGTACAAATCACGGTTCGAAACCCTGGCTTGGCTACGGCTGCCACATTGGTAAACCTTGAGGGGCAAAGTAATTGTAACGTTGTCCAGCAAACAGGGCAGTCCTGCCGTTGGGGAAGTTTTTTTCTGAAACACGATCCCACTTATCGAAATTTCCATCTATGGTACCACTCCCCTCCCTCCAGCGAACGGATACGACCACCTCTCCCTCCCTGGCTCCTAGGGAATCCCCAACGTACGACGTGGCCTAATACTATTTTGAAGAACTTGGAGCTCTTCATTCAGTTCAAATTGTGAACGAGTACAGAATTCAGCAAAAGAGACTACCGTTGCCTTCGTTGAAAGCCTTTTGAAGAGAATTGTCCCCACTGGAACCACTTTTTACCAGTTTTTAGTATGTGATGTTCTGCTTCAGCAAACGTCAAACCTATAAGTCTTGAAGGAACAGGTATGCCTTCTTGCCCCTCAACCTCCCAGCCTCACGTGTTCAGCGTCGAGTGAATTTCCCTTATTCATTTTTGCATGCGTTTAGAAACGTTCTTCGAACATTCTATTCAATTTGGAAATGCGAAGTTCTTTCGAGTCGAAAAGCTTTGTCAATATTCGCCATTTGGACGCCTTGAATTCCCCCTATTATATAAGCAGCCATTCTTCGACGGCCATTCACGAAAACACAACTTGACTGAGTGGAAGGGCTGCCATTCAGAGAGAATCGAAAAGATCATTTGGCAGCGCGGAGACACCGCTTCTCCACGAACTCTCAATATATGGAAACATCTTCCTCCCTCTCTTGATGTTTCGCTGCGAACCACAATAATCCGAACCGTCTCTAGGCGGGGGTTTCGTGAGCATGAGATTAGCTACCCTACAGAAAGGCGTGAAAGGAAAGTTGTAGAATAGTAAACCTTGAGGGGCAAGGTAATTGTAACATTTAAAGGCAAGTGGCGCGATATTCCCCAAGACGTGTGGGATCAACACGTCTAGCAGGACAGGTTTCGGCGCCCCTGAGCAGGCGCTGCGTGGTGCCTTTTCCAAGGAAGGTGCCCTTATAGCGCCCTATCGCTGCAACATACGGACAGTGCGCCCGCCCCCCTGCCCACAAATGTCCGACCGATGCTGATGCTCGTATCGCTTCATTTGCGAAGTACAATATGAAGCGAAGGGATTGATATGAAGCGGCTGCGATGCTGCATGGATAATAA